GCGACGAGAATAGGTACGACATAGTTCTGGAGAAGTTGAACAATTACTTTGTGCCTAAAGTCAACGTGATACATGAACGGGCGAAATTTTATCAGCGTGTTCAAAAGCAAGGTGAAAGTGTGGAAGAATTCATTCGTAGCTTACATGAACTAGCTGAAACGTGCATTTGGAGAAGCTAAAAATGAAAATATAAGAGACAGGTTGGTGATTGGTGTTCTGGATAAAGATATGTCCCAAAGATTACAAATGATGTCTGACTTATCGCTTGAGAGAGCATGTAGACATGCACGGCAATCGGAGCAGATTAAAAGTCACGTTTCCGAACAGACTAGCTTTTCAGCATTGAATGAAGTCGTACGAAGGAAGCACAGTGCACCATTTCGACCAAAAGGAGCGTGAAAGCCAGAAAGCGTAGAGAGAAAATGGACACAGAGAACAAATAGCCAGAAAAACACACAATCAAATGACTCAATAGCGGGGAAATGCATGCGGTGCGGTAAACAACATCCAAAGAGCGTCAATTGCCCTGCGAGAAGAGCAGAGTGTCGAAAGTGTGGCAAGAGAGGCCATTATGCTATTGTGTGTCGTACTCTACATGTTAGTGATGTAAATGTAGTGCAGGAAGAGCACGAAGATTCATTCTTCCTTGGAGCAATCACAGTAAAGGACTCAAGTGACGCATGGTCCATAACCTTGAGGATTCAAGATACAGAAGTGGAGTTTAAAATAGACACTGGTGCAGATATTAGTGTAATATCGGAACAAACTTACAAAGCTCTCAACACAAGGCCTAACTTAATGTTCGTGAATGCAGCGCTGGATTGTCCAGGAGGGAAATTGAGAAGTACAGGAAGATTTGAGACAAGCACACACCACAAAGGAAACAAGTACTGCTTTACTGTTTTTGTCATTGCAGGTCAGTCTGTTAATAATTTGCTGAGTCGAGAAGTTTCTGCTGCTCTGGGGTTAGTTCAGCGGATTGACGATGTAAGTTCACCCGGTGAGTCGGTTGGACTTTTGAAAACCACTCCTGTGAAAATCAAGCTGAAAACAGATGCAGTCCCATATGCCATTACGACAGCCAGGAGAGTGTCGGTTCCCTTACTTTCTAAAGTGAAAGCTGAACTAGACAGGATGGTGAAGTGCGGCGTGATTGAAGAAATTACAGAACCCACCGAATGGTGTGCGCCGATGGTGCCTGTGCCTAGGAAGAATGGCCAGGTGAGAATATGTGTAGGCCTAAATTGCTTAAATCAAGCAGTTGAACGTGAAAGGTATATCCTACCAACCCTTGATGATATACTTCCCCAGTTGTCAGGTGCATCAATGTTTTCACTATTAGATGCAGCGAGCGGATTTTGGCAAATTCCTCTGGAGAGGGAGAGTGCCAAATTCACAACATTTATAACACCATTTGGGAGGTATTTCTTTCACAGACTTCCTTTCGGAATCTCCAGTGCACCGGAGATATTTCAAAGAGAGATGAATAACCTCTTAAGAGACCATGAAGGTACAGCAGCGTACATGGATGACATAATCATTTACGGGGAAACGCCAGAGGTTCATGATTGTCATTTAAAGAGGGTCTTGAGGACACTTTCCGATGCAGGATTGAAACTCAATGATGACAAATGTCTGTTGAGGCAAACGCAGATACAATTTCTGGGTCATATCATTGATGCTCGTGGAGTCAGGCCAGACGAGAAAAAGGTTGAGGCCATACTGAATATTCAACCTCCACAGAACGTGACAGAAGTAAAGAGGATTTTGGGAATGGTTCATTATTTAGGTCGATACCTACCTGGATTGGCTGAAATAACCCGCCCACTTAATGATCTCCTTAAAGCTGATACAGTTTGGACTTGGAGTCGCGCACAGGAGCAGGCGCTCACAAGAGTCAAAGAGCTCATGACTGAAGCACCAATCCGTTTCTTTCTTTGACGTGAACAAACCAACCATCGTAAGTGCAGACGCTAGCAGCTATGGGCTAGGAGGAGTCCTCTTCCAGCAGCATGATGGATGCTTGAGACCCGTAGCCTACTGTTCGCGTACTTTGACCAACACTGAAACAAAATATGCACAGATTGAAAAAGAATGTCTCGGTGTGGTGTGGGCTTGTGAAAGATTTTCCAAGTACTTGTATGGTCTGGACAGTTTCGTAATTCACACAGATCATAAACCGTTGATTCCGCTCATCAACAACAAGGAAATTGACATGGTTCCTTTGAGATGCCAGCGACTCTTGATTCGACTGATGAGGTTCAATGCTAAAGCTGAATATGTCCCAGGGAAATCACTGGTTGTAGCTGATGCTCTTTCTAGACATCCGTCTTCGACACCACAGCTGGATTCAGTGGAGCTTATCAATGACATTACGGCTTTGGAAGAGTCCACTAGAGCTGCCTGGCCAATGTCATGTACACGACTGAACGAGGTAATTGAAAGCACAAAGACTGATCCTGAGTTGCAGGTGGTGATAAAGTATGTAAGACAAGGATGGCCAAAGTACCCTTCACAAGTTTCAGAGCACGTCAAACCTTACTTCGCTGTGAAGTATATGTTGTCTGTGTGTGATGACCTCCTGATTTACAGTGACAGGATCGTTATTCCAAGTGTCATGAGAGCTGAGGTCAAGAGGAAACTTCACGATGGTCACATGGGGATCGTCAAGTGTAGAGAGCGTGCAAAACAAAGTGTTTGGTGGCCTGGGATTAGCAAGGAGATCCAGGTATCTATAGAGAACTGTGCCTTCTGTCAAATAAATAAGCCAGCTCAACACAGAGAACCTCTGATGAACCACATTACCAGACGCACCTTGGGTGAGAATTGCAGCTGACATCTGTGAAGTTAACAAAAAACACTACCTTGTAGTGGTTGACTATTTTTCTAGATTCATTGACATTGCCTATCTTCCAGATATGTCAGGAAAGACTGTGGTATTACGCTTGAGCAACATGTTTGCCAGATGGGGTTGTCCTGATACCCTAATTACTGACAATGGTCCACAATTCGTTGGTCAACAGTTTCAGGATTTCACAACAGCTTACAAGTTTCACCACGAGTCCGCACTTTCCACAGTCAAATGGTGAGGCTGAAAGAGCAGTGAGAACCGTAAAGCACATTCTCAGGCAGGAAGATCCTTTTCTAGCTCTTCTAGCTTACAGAGTTACTCCCATACAAGTCACAGGATACAGCCCTGCGCAATTGATGCTTGGACGTCAGTTGAGAACACCGGTTCCTGTGCTGGAAAAGAAACTGAAGCCTGAGTGGCCTGATTTGTCAAGGGTGAAAGAAACTGACAAGATGGCGAAAGCTAATTACAAGCTTTATTATGACAGATGTCATGGTGTTCGACCGTTGCCTGAACCCAAACCTGGAGATCCTGTTACAGTCAAAACGGATAAAGGAGAAAGGCTGGAACAAGACTGCTACGGTTGTAGGTAAACACACGACACCAAGATCGTACATAATTCGCACAGAGAATGGAGACTTGAGAAGAAACAGAAAGCATCTACGAGTTTTCAATCCGTCTGCATGCCAACGTGATTCAAATGAAGAGAAAAGTGTGGATGAGCAATTGGCGCAAGCTGAACAATGTCCAAGTGATCAAGATCAGAACGCAGGACAAGAAATTCCAGAACAGCCTAAAAAGGTTGTTACGCGTAAAGGAAGAGTTGTTAAACAGCCTGGACACTTGAAAGATTTCATAGTTAGTACATAGATTGCCATGTGAGGCAGAATAATCCTCGGCCTCTATGTGGGTGACCGGTAGTCTACCCGGAATCCCTAGATAGTCTTTTGTGATTCAAAAGAAGATCTAAGTTCTAAACAATTGTTGAATAAGATGTTTAAAATCATAAGAAAGAAGACACTGAAAGATGTTTGTTTATCTTTATTGGTGTGTTATTGTTGTGACATTCTCACATGTTATGTTATTACAGGATAATATTTGAAAAGGGAAGAAGGATCTGTTAGGCTATATACGGTAATCAATATACAGCAACGTATACCCGTTTATGGCAAGCGTAGTTAATAGGAGATATACGGTATGTGGTCAACACATTGCAGTTCATGGTGCCAGAAGTGGCAGTTGTTGTTAATAAAGAACTAAGAAGAGAGCAACGCTTCCATTCCCTCATTTATACATGACATCCTAACATTACACACCCCAGATGTGTACTTTGCAACATGATGACGATCCTGTAAGGCCCAGCTCGATCGGCTCAATGGAGGCATCCAATCAGCAGGGAAGGTCTCTGCGTGTTATTCTCTTTCCACGTGGCAAATACATTTCTCATATGTATTTTCTCGTGAAAAGGTTTTTAATGATATCTGTGCATCATTAAATGTGAGCGAATGTTTGACTATTTCTTTTAACTCTCAACTGGAAATAATCGAAAAGAGTTGATTAGAATAAAATCACATGTTTACAATTTATTATGTCAGGTAAATGTATCATGCAAATTTCATAATCAATTCAAAGATAATCAATACAAAACATCAAATGTAGATGAGATGTAGATTAGAATGATTATGATTCTGCGCATGCCCAGTGCTAGTGAATGATTACGTGATCCGCATTTTCAGTCGTTGTAATGTGGACGGAGATCGATTTCCGATGTCACTGTGTCCATTTCTTTCACTGTCTATGATTCTCATACGCAGATAAAAATGCTGGTGTGGACGGAGATCGTCTATTAGTTTTAGTCCTGCTGCAGTGTGGACGGGGCCTAAAAGCAAATATTAACTAATCTATAATGTTATACCGTGTTAACATAAGTTAACATATTACAGTGGCTTTCCCCAGGGCAGGGGACCCATCCTTGACAAATATTTACTGGAGAAAGTGTGTTGACTAGCTCCGGTTTCCTAAAATAAACACATGGTTTGATGATCCAGTGAATTTGTATCAGATTACAACTCAAGAAAACTAGTAAATCAAAGAAGTCTTTCACAGAAGTGTGCTGTTCAATATTACTTTGGATAAATCAGCATAAAAATAAACTCGCATTTGTCTTTATTTTACAGTGTTCATAATTACTGTAACACAGACACCATAAATAAAGTGTAACCTCTTTTTATTCTTCTCTTGATAAAAAAATCTAAGTATCAATAAATAGCATACTTCTTTAAAGTTGGTCTGATGTTTGTGTATGTCTATAGGAAAATATTAATCTATTCTGCATTTAAAAGAAAAACTAATAAAGTCATAAAAAGAGTAATGATTAATTATACAAAAACAATATATATATTAAATATATAAAGATCAGCTTTCAATATAAAAAAAAGGGAAACCAAAAACATGTTTTCACTTGCAGCATTTCACAGAAGTTTCCTTTAGTCCATAGCTTTCCTTTGTCCACTTTGCCCATGAAAAACCAACCACCAAGACAAAGAATCATAACTTGGAAATATCTTTTAAAATAACACCTGTTGACAGAAGAGAGTCTACCTTTTGTTTTGATGTGTTAGTGTCTTTGGAAGAGTCTAATGATTCCCAAATCATGCAGTTTCTCCCAGGTCTTTATCTCCAGGTTATAGTCATGGTTAATATAGAAAATGACACTGGTTTTTTTTAACTTATCATAATAATAGTTGGAGTACTTATGGTGGTCTTCTGTAATAAATCCATAGGCATCCACCTGATATTGAGAATAAAACATTTTTAATTAATGTTCATAAAGTATTACTAATACAATGCAATTATGATGATATGAACAAATTAAATTTTTCAGTTTTTAAAGAGCTACAAACAGCATGATATTAAAGAATAAGACTTACAATATCACATGTGTGAATAGCCAAGAACAAAGCAAACGCTCCATTGGTCGGTCTGTATACTGCCCAGTTATTGCCGCTGCATTTGTTTGGAAATGCATGAATCTATTGAAAAAGAATTAAAAAAAATAGGGGTCATTCAAAAGATAGATCACAATTAGGTTGTTCTATGACCAAACAAACTGGTCACAGCAAACATAAAATGTTACCTGTTGCGAATGTATCGAAGAAAATCAGGGTGAAGGACGTAGAATCTACTCTCATTAAAATTCCCATTGTAATAATTCAGGGGCCTATGCAATAATAAATGCAAATGTTGGTTTTCAAACAAATCAAGAGCACAGTGATAAATATTTACTACTTATCAAGGCGCCAAACACAGTAAGATTTCAGATTATTTATTTATAAGCTCTCTAGAATACTTAATTCTGATTGGCCAGTTGACTGTGGTGAAAATTAATCATAACTTCTGTATTAATATTACAGAGTTCATCTTGCTTACTTGCAGAGCTGGATACTTTACCTCACACCTTTGAATGTACCGTTGGCAACTTTTCCCTGCAAAAGGCCTTGGAGCCACTCAAAGTCCCTCAGGCCCTCAGGAATCATAACATATTTGATACCCTATTGAATAACACCAGAGTGTAATATATATATATATATATATATATATATATATATATTTCTGAAATATTTTCATGTATATAGATTTATATATAATTTATATTATATATAAATATAAATATTTTATATATAAATAATATTTTTTCTTAAATATACATGCAAGTGTGTGTATTATATTTATATAAAATAATTATACACAGTGCACCCACATATATTATGTAAACACAAACTTTATTTTGGATGCGATTAAATCGTTTGACAGCCCTAATATATATATATATATATATATATATATATATATTCACAGTATGTGTATATATATATATATATATATATATATATATATGCATGTTTATGTGATTCTATTTTTGAAATAAAATAATATACAATATATCCCTATTAGAATGATTTCTGAAGGATCACGTGACACTGGGAACTGGAGTAATTGCTGTGAAAAAATTAAGCTTTTAATTACATTTTTATCTAAAATGACATTTTAATCAAAAAAGTCATTTTAAAATGTAGTAATATTTCACAATAATATCGTTTTTACTGTATTTTTTGTTTGTTTTTGTTAACTTAAAAACTTAACTTATTTTAAATGATTCTTAATGAAGAGCACAGCCGCATAGTGTACTGAAGTGAGTATATGCAAATTACAGTGAATTTATTATTTTAGAATTCAGTGTAAAAAATACTACTGACCTCATCTTGTGGAACACTGTGAAAGCCTTTTATTTTTTAATCTCAGCATGGAGGCATATAAGGAAAAAGCTGTATGCACATAAACTGATGTTCTATTTCCAACATCCTCCTCGTAACCTTGAGTAACAGCCCCATTTACTCTGTTTAAGAATAAACAGTATCAGAATTCACAGCCATGACCTTTAATAATAACTTTTTCATTTTCACTCTACCTTAGACATTTTTCACAAAGACAATTTTAGTTTCACGCTTACCGAAAAACATAATCATGGGAATCTATTTCTTTGCCCATCTTTGAGTTATTGAGGATACCACCAGTGCCCACAACAGCACAGCGGATACAGCCATCTTTTGAGCCTTCAGGCACAGGCAGTAATATTGAAGACTTGGGCTTTGGTATCAAGTCCACTGCTTTTTTCACCTCTTCAGTTGAAAAAAAAACAACAACAATGTACGTGTAAGTAAAGGAATACAAAGTGCGACAGCAACATAGTGTCGGCCCATATCTGACGCATGGAATCCACATGTACCAGATGTGGCCCGGACTATGTTGCTGTCTGGGATGGCATCCAAATTCATCCAATATTTCAAGGTTGCAAGTTAAGCTCAATCAACAGTATTTGTGGCGTAATGATAATTAGAACAAAAATATATTTTTAGTCGTCCTTTTTTTCTTTAATACAACAATTGAGGTTACAGACTTAGAATCAAAGTGAGGTGAGGGATAGACTTAGCATACATTCTTTACGAAGGCAAGCACTGAACAAAGGTTTTTTAGACAGAGTTTTTGTCCACTGAATTTTTTTTTCCATAAAGATGTTTCATCAGTATATTGTTACACAGTACAATCCACTGAACCCCTTTTATTCTATCCCTGTCAAATTAAATATGGCGCTACCCTGACTAAAGTCAACTGAAGCTATTATTTTAGTTATGTGACTTGACCATATTTACTACCATTGTAAGTGCCTCACTGTAATGCAGACAATCAATCAATCTTTACCCTATTGCGGCTGACAAGGTGAACGATGAACATTATTTCTCCTATCCCATTAATCATGTTAAGATGATCAAGTTGCCTCCCACCAGTAAACATGTCAACAAGAGATGTCGTTGCAAGAGGGAGAAGCTATTCTTATTAAAGGCACATAAATGTGAAAAAAATGTGCATGGATAAATCATTAATATCAAACACAAACAAATTTTTGATTTAATGTTTTCAAAAGAAAATATGGGACGAGTAATTAAAATTATGCTGTCAACTGATTTGAGCTTAATTATACTGAACACATAATGTTTCCTTGAATAAAGAGAGATCTGTTTACATTATTTATAATGCATCAAGCCTATGATGAAGCAATAATAACCTTTAACACGCCTTTCTCAAACATATGCAGGATGTGCCAGAGGTTTTACACACCCATAGCCTTTAACTTGAAAAATCAGCCAGAAATGTTGTGTAATTTGCCTTAGATGATCACCATTGTAATTGTACTCCATGAAGCCAAAGGGATTGTTGAAGTGTGCTAATCGATTCCATTCTGTTATGTTGAGTTGACCTCTG